ATCTACGAAGCGCCTGCTGGTGAAACTTCATCTGAGCTGCTTTCTGCTGCTAAAGAGGTTCGAGTCAAGCTGCTCTTTAATTCTTATTCCAATGAGCTTCAAAATGCTAAAGCAACGGTTCAAAACATTTCACTCCTTGCAAACCGCTTTTGCAGGTCAACAAATTGACAGAAGAGCACCAAAGCTTGGAGAAGCTTTCGGACGCGCTGAGAGATTTGGAGAAAACATTACGTCTGCTCCTCGACGGCAGAAAAGACAAGAAGGACGAGCCGGGCTACTGGACCAGAGTGGCTAAAAGAGTCGACAGGGTTTTCTTGATTTTCTATGTCACAGTGGTCGGTCTGTTTTTAGTTTTTATCTTTGTAAAATGGAACAGTGCAGATGATCATTGCTGCGGAAAGAGAAAATGATTAATCATTTCTTAGTTATGGCTTGCTGGAGTCATCGTTCTCAACCCGGAAATCACAATTTAGTTTCAGGAGGTTTGCAGGGAAGTGGGCTAAAAAAAGGTGATGCTAAAAAAAAAATGATGTAAAACATACTTTAGACAAATAGCATCACTTGAAAATCTCCTGTACTATCTGTGTTGGTCACTGTTTACACAAGCTCTTAACACACGTCTGCATTACATTCATTTCCTGGAAACTCACCTGAAACATCACAACACCTGTTCAACTCCTCTCTCGCCTCCACACGGCTGGCCAATCCCAGCGTGAGGCGAGTCTGAACACTGGATTGTAAAGTTCCAGGTATGAAGAAGGTTGAATTTATGATCTGTCACAACTACATGTTAGTTTTGTTTCACACATCTTGCTTTGGTGGAAGATGAGATGATGCTTTGTTCCTGGATTTAACAAAGTGGAAAAGTATCTTACAAGGACTGAATGCTGTTGTTTATTGGACTCAGTGTAACTTATGCACAGTATGAACACTAGTCTTTGTGAAATTATAGCACTCTAACATGATCTCTAATTGTGGATTTAACCGTGTCTACATAGTAGTATATAACATGTACTCTAACAGATTATGCAGATCTATGCAGGGAATGTTTGATATATCAAGGTGTGTTTTCTTCTGAAGAAGTGGAAATCATTGTACTTAATGTCTGCTCTTTGTGTTTTGTTGAGTTCTGTGACCTTATGTGCTTTGAAGCATGTATCAGACTCTCAAATAAACAAAAAGTCACATTTCTACTCAGAAACACACACACTCGTCTTTGGGTTGTCACCACCTTGCCAGGGTTCCACCACCACCACACATTTCATACGTATGGCTGCACAACTGAACCTCTTCACGGCCTGTTGAGCAGAAGTTGGAGCTTCTTTAACTCGTGTGCTGTAGACGATGTCATCCACTGACTTTTCAAAGCTCACAAAGTCTTACTGTTTGCTGTGATGAACGCTGCAGGTTGGATGTGAGAGTAGAAACACTCCCAGTATTGGTAAGCAGAGCTGCCTTTCCCAATTGCTTCCATTTTCTGCACAGTGTTCGGTGACTTCTGCAGCTTGGGTTGGCTTAAATTGTTCTGGTTGAATCATCAGTACTGTGTTTTAAAGTGCATGATAAGTCAAGCTCAGAATCTGAATGTGAGTAAGGATTGTTCAGTCATCCAACTTTAAATGTTGTCATTTAATGCCACCAAGGTGATGGTAATTCTGAGTTTTAGTAGAAGGCAAGTAGACTTCTTTTTGGTTCTTGAAGACGTTTCACCTTTCATCCAAGAGGCTTCCTCAGTTGTAACTGACTAGCTTGAAGTCACATGAATTTATTTTCGATCAAAACCACATGGCTAGTAACACATCAAAATGTGACTGGATGTAAGTACCTGATAAGTGACGCTGTAGACTTTCTTCTCTGTTCGGAGGCGACTGGTCACTCCTCTCAAACCGTCTGTCTTCTCTGTCCAGAACATGAACGTTGCTGTCCTTAAAGGAGTTCAGCTCATCTTTTTGATGCAGGTGGACTGATGAGTCTTGTCCTGAGGAGCTGGTTGTACTGAGCTTTGTTTAGTCTCTTTAGATCTGTGCACTCCTCTCTGCATTGGAATATATATGTACAGCCTCACTTGTGTTTGGATGTTTTACCCTTTGGGTGAGCCAGCTTTTGTATCAGAGTGTTGTTGGGTCTCTGTTTGATGATGTTTTGTTTTGTTTCTGGACATTTTTGCTGACTAAATGAAGGCCCGGTTAGGATAGCCAAAAGTGCTTTCTCAATCGATAAACCAGACTTGATTTGTGAAGCACTTTTCATGTGGTTCAAAGTGTTTTATAGAGCACAAGTAATGAAAAGGCTATAAAAAACATGTAAAAACACCCCATAAACAAAAGACCTGAGGGTTCCAGAGGGTCCATAGGATGAAAACCAATCTGATAAATAGGTGCTCCTTTTTCCCCTCTACTAAGGCCTGGTCCACACGTAGCTGGGTTTTTGTAAAACCAAATATCCTGCCCCCTCCGTCTAGAAAAAAACTTCCGTACACACCACCTCGTTTTTAGAAAAGAATTCATCCACACCTCACTGCATTAGTGTGTTTTTAAGCACATTCATATTCTACGTGAGCAACAACCAGGACGTACGGAAATTGTCACGCCATTCTTCCAGGAGCACGATTTCCATCTCAAAGTTCTCCCACCAGCTGGCAGTGAGTCCCGGTCTGACCCAAAACTGGAGTCGGAGTCTTTGATGGAAAACATGCCTCGGATGTGGAATGGCAAGGAGGCAGAAAATAACCGTCCTTAACATCGTCCTTCGCCTGTGTTCTTGTACATGGAGCGGTATCTGGGTCTGGACCAGACACAACACAGTTCTGAGGGCGTCCACGCTGTTTCCAAATGTAAACACAGGTCGCATATGTGATGTAAAGATCATATTTAGTCGCAGGCAGTGATGTTTTGAAACCTAAAACCCAGTTATTGACGTCCACATGCAGACGCATAAACAGAGGATTCGTAGATCTTCACTTTGGTCGGTTGTTTTGGGATGGGAAAGAGAACGACCACAGAGAAGCATGGTTGCTTTTGTAGAAGCACTTAGACTCAGTGTTAGGTGTTGTACAAAAAAAAACAAAAAACATTTGTTTGCATCAATTAATGCACAGTCAATTTCTGTGGCAAAAAATGAAAATATTCCCTGGAGAGGATGGGAAAGCTTTGCACTGTGATGAGTCGCATCTGCAGTTAGTTGCATATTTACTACACGTCCATCTGATGTGTAATCTATTTACATTTGACGTACTTCATGATGCAACTCCTATATTTATCCACTTTGAAAAACAAACAACATCGATAGCGGAAGTGGGAAGTGAGCAGCTTTTGGTTTGATAAGAGCTAACTGGCCTGCTGATGGCTGTGTGGTGTGTGTGTGTGCTGATAGTTCCTGGCAGCTTTGTTTCATGTGTTTTGTTTTTTTTTCTTTAATTAGAAAAGGGAAAAAGAGGTTGGCTGTTACATTCGCCCTGCCCTCTTCCGGTGATATAAGAACAGCAGGAAACATCTCCAGACAGCACGGAGACGACAGGGATGCTCACAGCCATGATGCTCGCAGGCTTCTTCTTCCTGCTCTTCCTCTCAGGTAAGTGGAGTAAAATACAATCCCTGAAATTCTGCACTTATTATTCTCTTTGGCTCATAGTGGAAAGCTGTGCTGGTTTTTCACAGTTGCTCTGCTTTGTTTCTGCCGTTTGTCATGTGTACAAATTCTACGTGATGCTCAACTCCTGCCTGGTTTTAATGTATCATGAATGTCTTGTTGCTCACTGCGAACTAATGATTATGTGACCGTCTCTACGTGATTATCTCACATCATTGGTTCAGGATCGTTAGTTTAAAGAGCCCTCTTCCTCGGTAAAACTCATTTTCGTTGTGGATCGTAGTATTTGAAGGCAATTAGACTGGGTGTGTGGTGAAACAAACAGAATACTATATGAGCACAAATTGTTAAAAATTCAACCTAAACGTCAGGGTGTGAGGTCGACCAGTCTTAGGCATGATTACCAGTTACATCAGGCTGGCTCTATCGCCTCTCAACTCAGGCAGCAACTCCCTCCTTCTCATCTGCACAGCTTCAGAAAAGTCTTTGGAACGGATGCTCTGTCTTCATATAATTTCCCTTTCCCTTGGCTTTCCACCCTCCTGGTAGCGACCGATTCTCTGTGCTCACCCAGTATCCGTATCAATGACATGTAGCTTCAGGTTACTTGAGAGCACATGTCGAACCTTCTTCTCTGATTCGTTCCAACTTTGTCCTTTCTCATCTGCAATCCCATCAATCAGGATGTTTGTCTTCTTGCACTGATTTTCAAGGTAGTACACTTTGGTAAACATTCCCTCCAGGTCCTGCTTTGAGTTCTTCTTGCAGCTTTCAGATGACTTCATCTTTGTTTCAACCTCCAAGAATCCCGCTCTTGACTCTTTTTTTCTTGGGTGAATTCCAAACTTTTCTTCAGCTCCTGTACATCTCGAATAACACCCTTTTCGGAGCTGAAAGGTGTAGAAGATGTAAATATCCAATCAGGCCTGTGTTTTAGAGGCCTGGTTGAATCACAAACTCTCAATTTGATGCAATATTGTCCAAAAAGTTGAAGGAAAAAAGCTTATCGCAGTCAATTTGATTTAGCGAGCAGCTATAGCTAAGAGATTCTTAAAGGATGACATAGACACATGCTGTTCCTTCTGCATTCACAGCATTATGTAAATACACAAGAGTTTCTAGGGATTAATTCATGAACTGAAAAGGGGCTTTAATACATGAATATATCAAAATACACCACAAGTCTTGTATATTCTGTAGTGCTGACACAGTGCTGTGCAATATGGTCCAATTGCACCTTCCTATCCTTCTGCTATGGGGAGGAAAAAGCTCTGGTGTATTTCTTTAAACAAATCTTGCACGGTGCTAAGCCCAGGATGCAGTGATGGTGTCCCCTCAAAACAGTGACAATGAACTGTCTTGGTGGAACTCTTGCATGAAGGGAGGCGAAAGCTGCCATTCAAATAGCTAATTCACTGACTTCACAAGCAGGGCCACCTTAATGCATGATCAGCATTTCTGGCCAAACTTTACATTTTTGGTGCAGTTGGTTGCTGCCTGGAGGATTGACATGCATGGCCAAAAGCAGGCTTATACCTGCAATCCGCATGTGGTGAGTCACACTGCTAATTTCTGAGCGACTCTTTACAGAATGTCTCTTACAGTAAGTTTTAGCTAATTGTAGTTCATCATTACCTACTGATGAACTCAGGATTCAGTCTGTATCCCTCAAAATAGTGGAGTTATTGTGCGCTAACATTTGCATTAACATCCACCGAGAAAAAAACTAGCAGGGCTGCCTCACTGCATGAAGTTTTTAGTGTGGTAGGCTGCTGCCCAGGTGTTGATGTTACTTCCTGTAGGGAGGTGGATTGTGACGACAGTAACATACAGCAGAAGGAGAGGAGAGAACCAGCTGACAGGAGCAGCCAGTGACAAGCTTATACAGCAGTCTGCATGTGTTAAACATCCATCCATCCATCCACCATCTCTACACCTTAATCCTCACTAGGGTCGCGGGTGGCTGGAGTCTATCAGGCAGGTTCACCTGGACAGGTCACCAGTCTATCACAGGGCTACACTTAGAGACAGACAACCAAGCACACTCACATTCACACCTACAGACAATTTAGAATCACCAATTAACCTCAACATGTTTCTGGACCTTGTGGGAGGAAGCCGGAGAACCCGGAGAGAACCCACGCTGCACGGGGAGAACATGGAGACTCCACGCAGAAAGATCCTGAGTGTCCTTACCGGGATGCGAACCGGCGACCTTGGAGCTGTGAGCCACCGTGCAGCCCATGTGTTAAACAAAATGTACTTTTTAAAATGAGACATACTTTATTATAAAGGAATAGCTGATGGCCCTAAAAAGGTTTTAAATCCATAGATATAAGGCATTTCCCTAACGAGATTAGTGTTCTTCCAGAGAAGCTTTAATAAATGCTAATTTGATTGTATGTTAATTAAAGTAACAGTGATTTAACATTCTGTAACTGATTATCAAATAAGTGTCAAATAACCAAGAAGACTCACAGTCATTCATTTACAATGAGCAACAAAAGTTTATGATGCATTTAATTCATGCATTAAATCATCATGAGTCATGCATTAGTACTTGACCTGAATATTCATTATACAGTTTTATAAATTTGTCTGCATGTTCCTCCTGTCAAGGCTTTAACTGATGATAAATCTGAATTTCAGGGGTAATAAAGGTCAAATATCTTATTGTTCTCTAGCTTAATGTGCTCTATCTAAATATTTGAGTCCAATTTAAACTTAAATTAAAAACTGCTCTTGGGGGGAAAAAAAATAAAAAATCACTGATGAGCTAAAACCCTTCAGTCCTGCTGACGCCCGTCTCATAATGGCTTTTCTGTGACCACAATCTCTGGATATTTGTGAGCTGGTGGTTGCATTATGAATTCAGACATAACGGACCCACAAAGACTGATGTAGTTTCTGATAAATTATCGGCGCATTTACAGTAATTGACATCTGGATGAACACCATGACTAAAGTTCTAAATACAGAAAAAATGAGAGCGTCGTCATCTTTTGGGAACTGTTTCTATCCTAACGTGTTTTGGTGTTTTTGCAGCAGACGGGATGCACTCTGAGCAGAACTGCAGTTATCAGGATGTTTTAAACCACTTAAAAATGACCAAAACCAACGAGCTGTACTCCATGACCCGACCCGTTAAAAACCACAAACGCTCCACGCGGGTGGCGCTGGAGGTTCTGCTCTTTGCCATCCTCGATGTGGTGAGTTATTGAAGCTTCATTTGCCTGCTTTTCAAAGGGCAATTCAAAAGAAAATTCCAGTATTACTCGTATTTACTTTCTTTACAGGTTGAGAAAGACCAGAAATTCATTCCTTACGTTTGGACCGTCATGGTGAGTTCTGCCGGTAGACGGGCTTTCTAGATATAGCTTCCCTATCTTGGAAAACTCAAATGTTATTGTTTATTTAAGAAGCCTTTTCTATGAGCCCTTTTAACGTGTCCCACTTTATTACTCACCTACCCTTTTATTTGCTGTTTGCCACTTCCTGTTTCCTCTGCAGAGGTGGCACAACGAGTACATTTCCTGGGACCCAAATCAGTTCTGTGGAATCGATAATGTTTCTCTTCCGGCTGAGACTCTGTGGAAACCAGATCTCACTATTGAGGAAATGTGAGTCTGATTGGCTCTGCATGGCCGCCCTCACAGCACCAGTGTCTTTTTATCTTCTGGTTTCTAAAACCGAAACTTGTGGGGTGTTTCAGATCTGAAGCCCATACCATCTCATGATGCTTTATCTTGATTTTTTTTTTCCTGCTGTATTTGACTCTTTACCATTGTTTTTAACTTATTTGTGCGGTTTGAGAAGTGCATGTCTGTTAAGCTGATTTGTATTCAGACTGATTATGTGATGGTCTACATGATGATTCTATTGAACCCTGAACAGAGGTCACACAGACACTGACTCTGCAGCATCTTAACAGCTACAGAATTAATTAATACTGGAGACTGCTTACAAACTGATGCACATCTCAGATTAGCTTTAAAGACTGAATGTTAACACTTGCTGCAGTTCTTGTTGAATGGGCCAGTTTGGATTCTTAAGGTAAATCCATAGCAGGTATAAAAACACACCTGCTTATCAACATCGGTGCTGCACAGAGAACAAAACAGACTTCCTGAAAATTGCCATCTCAGTAATTTTCACTGTTTATTTATCCTCCAGTTCAGTTTATTGCTTTTTTCCCACAACTTTTCTTGCACAGACAGATTTAGTTTTACATTTTAAATTATGACACACCTGAACTGTTTAAGTGGATCAGATATTTTAGACAAATTTCCATTCAGTGCCAAAGCAGCTGCATAAAAGCACACAGAGTCATACCTGTGTTCTCTAGTTTTTAAAACATCTTCTCTCTGTGCTTTCACGCAGGATCGAGAAGGACAAAGCTCCTGCCACTCTTTACATCACCATGAACGATAAAGGTTTTGTTGAGTACCACAATGACCTGGTGCTGGTCAGCACCTGCAGGATGCGCGTTTACAAATTCCCCTTCGACATTCAGAAGTGCAACCTCTCCTTCAAATCCTTCACATTCACCAGTAAGAGCGTGTTGTTTATGGCGTGTATGTGTGAGGGGGGTTTAATCATGCTGTGCAGTTTGCTGTTTGTCTGGTGCTGGACATCGCTGTAGACAGCCATTTCCTAAAGATGTGCTTCAAGGCAACTGAATGCATCATTTGTTGGGTACATTTGGTGTATTTGTCATTAACATTGGGTGACTGATTGAGTCTTTTGGGCTTTATGTGCCACCTGTGGTTCATTTCCTCCTCGCTACCTAAAACAACCTCACAGTACTTTTTTTTAATGTCCACCTCAGTCAAGGACATTCGACTCCAGGCCAGTGACAACTCTTCAGAGGCCACAGAGTGGTCTCGTGACCTGATGAGGACTCAGTACGAGTGGCTCTTCATCAATCTGACTGTCACCGCCATCAACGGCACTGAATTAGTCGACCAAGACATCATCGTTTACACCGTATGTACACTGTAAAAATAGAATTTAGTCCAGTCAAATCAAATCCAGCTACTAAAACTTAAAATGTTTTGTTTCCAGAACTTAAAAACACAAGTTCCTTTAACTGTTTGACTTAAAATGATGAGCTGAATGAATGAACAGCTGAGAGGTCACTCAACTCATGAAATTAAGTTTATAAGAAACTAATAGACAGACTTCCCAGGATGCATTGTTAGGCAGTTAAACTCCCCAGAGACTCTTGTTTGTTGTAGTTTGATGGTTAAAACCTGCTGTGTGTCTTTAGTTTATGGTCATAAATGGCTTCGACAACTGAGGCTGTAAGTCCTCAAAGTTAAGTGAAGAAAAACTGACTGAAGAGAGTCTGTCTGACGTCACTTTCTTTGTGGCTACTTGATTTAACTTAATACTCTGAACTTGTTTTCTCAAGGTAAAGTAATTTAACTAATTTTACACTTCTGACAAGATGACTTTTAAATAACTCAGTGTTGAAAGTGCAGCTAACGCTCATTTTCAACGGGTGAACATACATTTCTAAGCTGACTGAACTTAAAATGAACTGCAGTGTATAACTAGAAACACATCGACAAGTAAGTACAGTCATGAAACAGAAGTTGATGAACACTTGTAAGGACCATGTGTACCATGGCAGTTCCCAATGACTCCTATACCTCTGAGTTTTCTCTGACGGAGTCATTGAACACCATGCGTCCTTCTTCATCATCAATCATGCATTTGTGGTTCTTTCATAGATGTAGGTAGGTAATCCTCCTCCTTCATTATTCCACTTACTTTGTGTAAAGCACCAGCTGCACTGGCTGCCCCAGGGCATTATGCTGCCACCACCATGCTGGATGGTAGGTTTGGTGTTCTTGGGGTTAAAGGCTTCATCTTCTCTCCTCCAAAATTATTTCTGCCCATTGTGGCCAAATAGCTCAATAGCTAAACTTTTGTTTCCCTGACCACAGAAACTTCCTCTAGAAGGTCTTTTTCTTTGTCCATGTGATCAGCAGCAAACTTGAGCCTTCTGGAGAAAAGGCTTCGTTCTTGCACGGCAGCCTCTCAGCTCATCGTGTTGTAAAACATACTTCATATCTAAATTCACAGATCACCATGAAGAGGAGGTCGGCCCTCTACATCGTCAACTTCTTGGTGCCCGTCCTCTTCTTCTTGTGTCTGGACTTGAGCTCCTTCATGATTTCAGACGCCGGCAACGAGAAGCTCAGCTTCAAAGTCACTGTGCTGCTCGCCCTCACAGTGCTACAACTTATCCTTAATGAAATCCTGCCTGCCTCATCAAACATGATCCCACTTATAGGTAAGGAGGCCCAGAGTCTTGCTTTTACGTATTAAATCACATAGTGATGCACATACAGACTCAGATAGTACATATTGGTGTCATTAGTTATGCTGCCTGCTCCCCTCAGTGATCTACTGCATTGGGATCTTTGCTCTGATGCTGCTCAGCCTGGTGGAGACCATTTTTGTGATGTATCTGATGGAGAAAGACGCTGCATCCCAAGACAAGGAGACAGACCAAGACGGCAGCCTGAGAGAGGACTGTATCAAACACTGCAAAGCCAACTTCAACAGCTGCCATGAAGGTGAGGTTAAAGGCCAGTTGCACCAGTTGTTTGTAAGTTCAGAATGACCCTCCTTCCAACAACACTAGTTACTTATTAGTACCACAACAGACTTCTGGAGAAATTAGTAGAATAAAGATAAAGATAAGATAAAGAGACTTTATTGTCATTGTGCAGAAGTACAACGAAACTTGTGTGGAAGAACACGACAATAGCAGCAGTGCAAATAAGAATAAAAATAAGAATACTAGAAATAAAAATAATTTAAACAAAGTACTATATACACAAAGCATTATATATATTATAAATATGCCCAGTTATACCCAATAGTACCATGCTGAACATAGCAATAAACAAGTGGTTAAAGGCTGTTAAAGCTTATTGGTTAAATGATAAATTGCGTTAATAATTGAACCAATTAAAAACATATTAACCAGTAACACAGAAAATGAAGGACATGCATGTCAGGAGATGTAAAGCAGCTGTGGAACCTGGTTACGCCACCAAGTAGAGCTTCTTCCCGTTGAAGAGGCCGTCCCTTGGACTACCGGCATTGTGGGCGTTTAGCTAATAAAGGTCCACAATGTGAAAGTCTTCCGTGCCGACTGACTAGAGCTCTCCCTGCAGGCGAGTGGCCTCGTGGCTGGGAATCATTGGAGTGGTCACGTCATCTGGTGCTCGCTGTTGGAACGGCTTGTAGCACGCAACCATATTCACAGCGACTGTATCAAGACATGAAATGAGTTCATTGAGTTAATTTCATGTCTTTAATTACTGATTGACATGGCTGCCGACTACTGGTTTAATAATTTGTACCTCTGCCAGCCCTGCAGTGGCAGCGAAAGACATTGTTCAATAGTTCATGGTTCTTAACTGTCCACACCTTCGAAGGTGTCGGCGCTGCACTCATGCTGAAGGAGTTCACTGTGGTCTTATGGGTACTGATATTTTTGCTCTTTTTCGTAGATATTTTTCTTAAGGTCCTTATTTATTGGAACAAGATCACTATTTTTGTAAACTCTGGAGTTTTATTAGCAGCAAGAGCTTGTAGATGATACAAAAACTCCAGAGACATGCCTTTTTCCACTCTTGGGAAGGTGTTTGGACAAATAAGTCCGAGCAAAAACTCTCCAATGCCACTGTAAGGGCAGTAAAGGTGCAGAAGGGCATAATAGTTATGATGAAGCTATTCTGCCTGATACCGTGTTCAGAGTCTCTTAAAACAATGTAAGTATCGATTTACGGTTTGAAGAACAAATGTAGTAAAAGTGGAAATTTTGTCTGGCAAAAGAAAAGAGACAAAAACTGAGGTGAGACAATAAGGAACCTTGGTTTAGTTGGTAGAGAGCTCTGGGACTTGGGAAGATTGACTTGGCATTATTTCTATTGATCTTTAAAACAGCACAAACATTGAGGTTCCTGTTTCAAACTGGGACTCTTTAACTCTTTCATCCTCTGAAGCTGTTGCTGAGCTGACGACATCAAACGACCAAACAAGCCTGTTAATGCACCACTTGTTTAGGCTGAGGAGTAAAGAGGCACTAGTTATGGACCATTACTGAATCTGACCAGACGCTTGATCAAAAAGCTGTTTAATGAAGAGGAATATTAATCTTTAATGACATATAGTCATATAAATAAGCTCTGACTAAAGAGCCAAACAAGGCTGGTCTTACGAAGGAAACAACTTTACTGGGAGATAGAAGCTGGTTCTCTGATTTTTTTGACTTCCTTGTGGTTTTAGCTTAATATGATACTAAAACCTTTCCTTTCAGATGTGCAGAAATGGACTCAGGCTACATTTATCTACAACGTGTCTGGCGGTGAAACCCCACCTGAGCAGGTACCTGCAGCCAAACAGGTTAGAATGAAGCTGCATTTTAACTGAGCAGAGACACAATCCTGAAAGTCTACTAAAAGTCTGCTGAACCTCTTTTGCAGGACAGCGGCAGCAAATTGACAGAGGAGTTCCAGGCCTTGGATAGACTTACGGATGCACTGAGGGAGATGGAAAAAACAACATCTCTGCTTCTCAACGGCAGGAAAGGCGAGGAGAAGCCCGGGTACTGGACCAGAGTGGCTAAAAGAGTCAACAGAGTTTTCTTTATTTTTTACGTCACAGTGGTCAGTCTGTTTTTGGTCTGTATCTTCATAAACTGGAGTCACCCATAGAGAGGATAATGTCTGCATCATGATTCACTTTTTAAATCCACGTTTTCTAATCACAGTGTAGTCTCAGAGAGGGACTAAAGCAGGTCGATACTAAATAAAACGAACATATGACGTCACTTAAAACTCCTCGGCACTCTTGAATCTACAGACTTTAAGCAGTTGAGCTGCAGAAAAAAAAAATTGGAAAACACAGACGCACAATGCTAAAGGAGAGGTAAACTTAGTATTTGCTGAAATTTAAATATCACTTTAAAGCGACAAGATGTAGTTTCAAGTTGATAGAATCCACAAAAGCAAAGCACCGACACCAAAGCAGAAAGATCACTTGGGTTTAATTGAAACGGCACTTTGTAGTATTTCAACTACAGCCGGAACATTCAACTATTCACCTCATTATCATTCTGTTACAGCAGAATAATGATGAGGTGCAGTCAGACCATTGCACACCATCACTGTCAGAGAACGGTCTGGCTATGCAAGACTACAAGTTTGCACTTTCAAATGGTCAAAACCAGTGAACCCTATACATTATTACAAGGACAGCTATAGCCAGGATCACAGCATAACTACATCAAGCTTAATCAGTGAGCATCAAAGTTGTCACTATACGGACTCACGACACCTTAAACGAACCAGAAGAATAGTTTAAATACAGCAGAGAAAACCTCCATTGTCTCTGCACATATGACCAGAAAGTCAAAAGAGACGCAGCTTGGATAACCAACCACATACGTATATCGTTCTCACAGTCTCTTCTAAGAAGAATCTCCAACAGTCGCAAGATGTTGAGAATCCTATGACCTCGATAAACTCAGATGTGGACCTTCTAAATGTATTCGGCGTTTAGTTTTCCAATATTACAAAGGTGCCTGGTTATCCTCGTTAAATATTAAGCCGTGGACTGCATTAAGTTGATGATGTCAGTGCAGTGTGTAGCGCATGTGGGCTATATGACTGCAACAACAGAGACCTAGTTCCTTGACGGAGCCTGGATTGTGAATGAACACAGGAAGCTGTAGTGCCGGTTGAATATGAAATATATTAACAAAAGAAAAATTCATCACAACATAAATAGCAAAAACACCCAATACACCATTCGAAATAAAGAAAAAAATAATGGAGTCCCAACAACAATGATTATATATATAATCTTTAAAAAGGAGAAGAAAATTGTGCACATGTGTTGTCTTTATCAGTCACAACAGTCGTCCGGTAGGTAAGTGGGTGATGATTTTCTCCTACCAGGTCTTTGGTCTGGCTCGCCAGGTGAATTGGGTGGACATTCGGAAAACAATTGACAATTGACCCGGAAATAATAAAATAAATAACCAAATAAATAAATAACTAAATGTGGGCTACAAGTGACAGACTTTAAAGCATATGCATCTGGAGGCACCAGTAAATATTGAACTTCAGTTATTGATTTTTGACCCTTTTCCTTAAAATTGTTTTCAGTAACTTCCATAAGCAGCTGCTCCTTGTTCTGCTGGAGCTCTGTTTGCCACTTGTGCACTTAACTGTTGTTTCAATTCTCACATCTGCTAGAAGATAAAGATGTGCATTTATGAAAGCCTTATTTTTCTTTTACTACATCCTGGTATTAGCAGCGCTAATGTGGAAAACCGTTCTTGGCAGTCCAGATACACTTACTGCAGTGTGTCTGCGGTAAGTGTATCTGGACTGCCAAGACACACTTCTTGCAGTGACTGAAGAGCTGCTGTTTGCTTTATGAGGTGTTGCATCTTTGTCTTTGTGAAATTCGAGCACACCAATCTGAGTTTTAATCGTGCATCTAAATGTTGTTACCGAGTAATAACAGTCTTTATGTATCACGTGTTCTAAGGGTTTGTGTAAATTCTTGCAGCGAACTTGTGACATCAGGTTGTGTTTTCTTCTGAGGAAGAGCAACACATTGTCATGACTGTCTGCTTTTTGTGTTTATTTAAAGAGTCCTGTGGTCTGCTGTACCTGTTGGCTTTGAAAGCAATGTATCAGTATCACAAATAAACAGCAAGACGTGTCCTTTTATCAGATAAAAACACATCTCAGCTGCACAACTGACTTTTTTTTTATGCATTAGGTGGAATCTCACCGATGTTTGCTACAGGCAGAGCCGTCCACTGACTGTGTGTGCATCTGCAGCATCTCTAAAGCTCACTAAGTGCTACTGGTTGCTGTGATGTCTGCTGATGGATGTGAGAGTAGAAACACTCCTGAAGTAGTAAACAGAGCACCACAAGTATTGAAATCCCATTGCAGTTTTTAGCACTTCTGGGGCGTCTGGGGGATTCAGATTTCCCTGGTTGTATGGGTTCCTATATTAAAAAATACAGCATGTCATCTTCTTTTGGGAAACAACAGTAGAAAGGTCTAAAATCTTGTACTTATGCAGCTCAGTTATGAATCAGGAGCTATGTGAGGCTATTGGTGGGCACTATTCAACCATTAAGGTTAAACATAAGTGATTGGAACGTCTTGTGTTTTGCTTACATTTATTATATATTCATGAATGCTGGTTAATGTGCATTTGATTTCTGAGGCAAGAAATTAAATGTTAATTTGAAGGGGTGGAAGATCATCTGTATATTTACTGCTGATAAATCTCATTTAATTCTAATGGAATTCCTTCATGCGTTCATCTGCGGTGGAAGCAAGCAGCTGCTGGTTTGATAGGAAGCTGCTCAGTGCACTGAGCGCTGAGTGTGTTGGCAGCTTTTTCTGTCAGGAACTTTCTATTTAGTTGGTCGTTCCACTTGCCCTGCCCTGTTCCAGCGGTATTAGGACGAGCTGAAACACCTCCAGACAGCGCAGAGGCAACAGGGATGCTCACTGATCACCTCCAGCCATGACGCTTGCAGGATTCTTCCTTTTGCTTCTCTTCCTTGGTAAGTTCAAATAATTATGCATAATGCATGCAGGTATTCACCCTAACCCTAAACCTGTTATCCACTGATGCAAGTAAAATCCAATACCAGCAATTACTTTTTTTTCCCAGTGTGATAATCAGATAATGCAAATGTCCTTCATTAATCCTTCTGCTGCTTTTTAAGTTAATTAATTGTTTACGAGTGACATAAAAATGAGTTCAGTGTAAAGAGCCACTATAGATTTTATGTTTAAAATGTGTCCTGTTGACTTTTTAAAAAAAAAAATAGAATTGTAGAACACACAGTTTGACATTTCTGTTATTTTTTTAGGAGCAGCTAAAGTTCTCCGTAGAAAATGTTTCACAGTTGCAACGTTTTTATGGCTTAAATTGGGATGCAAGAGTCCATGGGGTGGACAATAAGATCATGATAACCTTCTACCGTGCAGTGCTGGAGAGTGTGATTGCAGCTCAGTATACGGCAGCCTCTCTGTTGAGGAAAAACAAGCTGCTGCTTCTAGTCCACACTGCTCAGAAAGATATAGGTGAGCAGGAGCGACCCCTCCCTGCAAAGCATCCACGAACGGGCAGCTCTCTGCCTGGCCAACAAGATCCTGAATGATCCTTCACACGCTCAGAACAAGAGTAGAAGAAGGCTCATAGTCCCACGCTGCCGATTGAACAGGTTTAAAAATTCCAGCTTCCATTAGGCTAATTAATCGAGACAAACAGCTCAAATTGTTTTTTAAAATGCCATGTTTTGGACTCTGATATTCACATTTCTTCTGCTTTTGCCTGATGTATTTATTAACTGTGTTTGTGTCTGCTTGTGTTGGCTGCAGCGTGGGTGAACAGCCCACCACAGATTTCCCCACGCCTGGGACAATAAAGTTAATCTTGAACTTCAGTCATCAGTACAAGAGGTTAACATCTGTGTTGCAGAGCATTTATGGGTTTGTGCAAAATATTATTATAACAATCTGCAGCTAAAACCCAGTAAATGTGATCTGTTTCAATAGTGGATGAATTCAGAAAACTGTGGTGCCTTGTTCTGGTCTCGGCTGTAACAACAAAAGGAATTTTAACTGAATTTATGCCTCTGAATGACTGCTCATCGTGTTAAATGCAGCAGCCGCTCTACTGACCAGTTAGTGCATTACCATTCCCTAGAAACAAAGTGGACTCAATTAAAACTGGTTGTCCACTTAATGTCTACGTCAATAAGACATTAAAAAGATAAGACTATTTATGCACAGAATCAATTAAGGAAACCAGAGACAAGTGAAACTAATAAAATCAATTTTAAAAAAAGGAGGGAAAACAACTAGAGGCACACAAGGACAGGGATTCCTTCAAAATCAAACAGGAAATAAACAGAGTCGAACCAAAGACTGTGACGAGCTAATGTCGGTCTAATGTACGTCTACACTGTAAAAAAAAAAGAAAAGAAAAAGAAAAACCGGCAGCATTGGCTTCTAAAATCTTTAATATAAAAGTTATCTAACAATCAAATAAAACAATAAATACACAGATGTTTTAATTTCATATCTTGCAGAAACAGACCTTTTCTCTTCCTGTTAACAAATCTTTCCTGAATTATTACGACGTGACATTTTCAGTAAACCCTAATCGTACATTACAGGAACTAATGTAAAGATTTTAACTTCTTAAAATTATGATTTTTTTCTTTCTAGTGTATTTCAGAGTGCTCCAATGAAAAACAACATGGATAAAAAGTATGCAACTGTTTACTGAGGCTTTGCATTAGTCAAAATGAAATGAAATGAGCATGTCACAATGGTCCTGCAACCCTTCCTGACTTTAAAAACAAATGAATGCAACATGTAAAGGAGGAGATGTGAGTGCACTTCGTTTAAACTGTATCTGTGTATCTGTCCTTTCTGCCAGGTGGAAAGATCTCCGATTCAGCGCTAGAAGAGCTTCTTGATCATGAAGAGGGGTCCGGTGACCATCTTGGGGAAATTCCAGGTAGATAACAAACTCAAACAAATATTCCTTCATGATTATTTCCTCTGCCCATGATAACAGGGTGCATTTCCTCAGTTAAAGCAGAGTATCTCTAAACGATAGTAGATGTTTCATTGATGAGAAGAAAGTAAATTTAGTGAAAATGCAGTTCTACTGTATGTGTCAGTAAGTGATGAGTCATTGTTGTGCACAGCGGTCCCATTTACAGGTGAACAAATTAAAACAAGGCAGAAAAATACAGATATATCCATGAGCAGTGCTTTAAACTTTACATGATTCGACATGTAACGCAGGAGACATGTTTGGAAATAACAGTGAAAGTAACGCGTTGTGTTTTCCCCTCAGGTGGAAATACCTCCAGTTCAGAGTCAGCAGAGCTTCATGTTAATCAAACAGGTAAAATACAAACACTGACCTGACCTGCAAAAAACAAAGTCCTTCTGAAGGAAAGTTCTGTGGTCAGATGAAACAAAAAATGGAGCCATTTGGTCACAAAAAACAAAAATATGTTTGGAGGAGAGACAGTGAGGCCTTTAACCCATAGACTGTATAAAAGATGGACGTAGCAACTGGCCCTGAAAAATGAAGCCAACCTGGAAGTGTCAAAAACCTGCAGTATCACTACGTCTGCGAGCTGCTGGCTCCAAAAAGCCCTGGCTCCCATAGACTTGAATTGGAAAAGAAATGATCACAGATCATGAAATACTGCATTCCTCCAGCTCAGGATTTTGTTCTTATTAGTTTTCATGGTCAAATCCAGAGACCAGGTGGCCAATCTGAAAATAAATCAATACTGAATTTTTAAAAAATCGTCAACATTTTGCGGGGCAAGGGGCGTGGCTGGCTTGATTGACAGTTGGCAGTGACCATACAGACGAAGCGAGCAGAAGGCGGCAAATGTGGGCGGGCAGAGAGGGCCCGCCTCTCAATCCGTCTGACCAATCGCTGCTCCTATGGCTCCGCCCCCCTCCGACGATTTTTGCGTCACTGGCTCCAAAAATCCATGATGTCAACCAGGAAGTAGCAAAACCCTGGCTTCATTTTCTCAGTGCAGAAACCAACGGGTGACGTCATGGAAGCTACGTCCATCTGTTATACAGTCTATGCTTTAACCCCAAGAACAGCAAACCTATTGTCAAGCATGGCGGTGGCATTATTATGCCTAAGTGGCACTCTACACAAAGTAAATGAAATAATGAGCAAGGAAGATTCATTCCATATTCTTCAAAAAAACAGGTGAACAAATTAGAATAAGGCTGAAAAATACATATATATCTATGAGCAGTGTTTAAATGTTATAATTTCCTGACTCAAACACGACAGCTCAGCACTTTACGTGATACGATGTGTAACGCAGGAGACGTGTTTGGAAATAACAGTGAAAGTAACGTGTCGTGTTTTCCCCTCAGGTGGAAATACCTCCAGTTCAGAGTCAGCAGAGCTTCATGTTAATCAAACAGGTACAATACAAACACTGACCTGACCTGGTGTCTGATTCTGTGACTGAACTTTTATCCCTGAATTGAGTTTGAGTGGAGTATTGAGTTGCGTTGATTTGAACAGCATGCACAGGAGTCCTATTTTCATTGTCTTAACAGGTTTTAATGACTATTTTTAATACAATTATAAGACATTATGAGACCAGTTCTTTTCCTGGTAGAGAATGTGTCTTGATATCGTTTCAGTTAATGAAGTTCACAGTAAGTATCAGTGCAGTTATCAGGCTCTTCTCGACCACTTGAATCTGACCAAAGACAATCCTAAATACACGGTGAGCCGGCCTGTTCAGCAGCACAGTTCTGTCACAACGATATACATTTTGATGAGGATCTACGCCATCCTCGATATGGTGAGTTACTCCATCTTTTTCCGTTTAATAATCATATTTTTGGTCTTGTGAATCAATGCAAAGTATTTATGGGCAAATCTTTAGTTTTAACTGTGGATAAAGACGTTTATCTTTCTCTGATTTTGTGTACACTGGTTTGTACTGCCTTAAGAAAATCTGCTCACACCCTCAAGTCCGACGCCGGCAGTGTGTGTTCTCAGATAAACTACGTTGATTGTGCAGCTGGAAAGATTTTTCTGACACACACTGTTTCGTTGCTCACAGAGAGAGACCGACCAAACTTTCATTTCCTACATGTGGATTCTTTTGGTGAGTCTTGCAGCGTTTCTCACTTGCTCCCCTACTGTGACGAGTCATTAGCGATAACATGCACCTTGTCATCCTTTCTTGTATTCTTTCTGACACAACATGCACACACCCCACTCAAATTATTTCCTATTCCCCGTGCAGGACTGGGAAAATGAGCACATTTCTTGGAATCCACCTGACTTCTGTGGACTTGAACATCTCATAGTTCCGACTGAATTTTTGTGGGTGCCAGATTTAACCATTGAAGAGATGTGAGTTTAAATATATGCACAAGATTATGGTTTTATCATTTATGAATGGCAAAACTGAAGCATTTGGATTCCAATACAACATGTTTATGTATAATAACTTGCTTACAGACATACATGTCGTCTTTACCAAAAGTTTACATACACTTGTAAAGACCATCTATGGCATGGCGATCTTAAGTTTCCAAGAACTTTTGATTCTTCTGTATTTTTTTCATAGGTCTTCTGGAAAATGACCAAATGTGCAACATGATCAGGAAAAAAACACAAATAATCACTTGCTGCTAAGAGACCGTTTGTTTCGGGTCTTCAAAAGTCAATCAATAAAAACCAAAAAGAAAGTTTGAAATGAATTAGAAGCAGCTAGAACTCAGGTGTTGGGCATGTTTTCCATCACCATTGGCTGAGAGGTTGCCATGCCACAAGAAAACCCTGAGATGGTTTCCTCTGGAAGCGACGCCCAAAATCTTGACTGAAGTTTGCTGCTGATCACACCAGCAGAAACAAAGTCCTTCTGAAGGAAAGTTCTGTGGTCAGATGAAACAAAAATGGAGTTATTTGGTCACAAAAATCCAAAATAGGTTTGGAGGAGAGACGGTGAGGCCCTTAACCTCAAGAGCAGCAAACTTATTGTCAAGCATGGCGGCGGCATTATTATGGTTTGTGCAAGCAGAAGTGGCACGCTATGGAAAGTAAATGAAATAATGAGCAAGGAAGATTAACTCTATATTCTTCTTCTTCAAAAAAAAAGCCTGAAATCATCACCCAGATTGAGGTTGAGGTTGAGTCTTGGACACAGTTGGGTGTTCCAACGAGACAGTGACCTCAAACACACAAGAAATGGTAAAATCAGGCTAAAATTAAGGTTTTAGATTGACCTCCCCAAAGTCCTGAATTAAACCCCATCAAGAATCTGCAGACTGTACTGAAGAAAGAAGTCTGCATCAGAAAGCCATCAAATTTAGTTAAACTGCACCTGTTTTGTCGACAGTGGTCAAAGAAGCTCGTGGACGGAAACCAAAAGCACTCAATTTAGATTAAAATGGTCAAAGGACATTTAACCAAATATTAGAAATCCTCGATGTATATTTTTGAAGCAACATTTCCAGAAGACCAAATAGATTTTTAAAATGCATAATTGCCTTTTGTGACACAGAGTTTGTTTGTCATAAAAAATTAAGAGTTGTAGGAGTCATTAGAAAACTCAAGATCGCCATCATGTACATACGCTTTACCAGTAAACTTTTGTTCACAACTGTATCTCCCACACTTTCTACAGTAAGTTACTGCTTGCATCATAATGTCGGTCATGTTTTTCAGACTAACAGATGTGTGTAATGTATTTGCTCTCATACAGGACAGAGAAGGACAAAGCCCCTCCAAGTCCTTACCTCAAAATTCACTCTTACGGCTGGGTTGAATATAGAAACGACCAGGTGGTGGTCAGCACCTGCAAGATGCACGTTTATAAATTCCCCTTCGACGTTCAGAGCTGCAACATCTCCTTCAAGTCTATCTTGCACTCTGGTGAGCCCCTAACATGTTCTGGTCATGTGAGCACGCACTATATATTAATATGTAGTATATATTTCTTTATAGTTGATCTGCAGATGTCACCTCATGACAACTTTTTCCCCCACTGTTTCAGATAACGAAGTCAAATTATTATTCAACACAAACAGCACACAGATCACAGAGTGGTCTCGTAGGGTGATGCGGACGCAGTACGAGTGGCTGTTCCTCAACCTAACAGCCAACAAAAAAACTAACTACATGTTTGGTCTCAACCAAACCACGATTGTTTATGTTGTAAGTACTTCTGAACTGTTTCACTAACATGGGAAAGCACCAAGTCTCTCAGTGTTCAGCTCTCAGTATTTCTGGTTATTTCCACCTGAATCTCTCTGGACTGGAGCTTAGATTCACTCCTGTGTTCCAGGTTTACTTCTCATATAACAGAATGACTTTAATTAATGCAAGCTTAACTTTTCTTGGTGTTGCTGCTTCTCAGTGTTGTCACACCTTGTGTGGTAATGCCACCTGCTCGTCATCAAGTTGGCGTTGCTTCAATAAAAACACGTCTTATCAAGTAGAGGGACATAATCTGAACTGTGTGGTCGGCAGAGAAGCCTGAAGTATTGTAGGGGGGAGTAGTACGAACTGAAACACCCAGTGTGAGATGAAGATAAACAGGGTTGCAAATAGCAAACCTCCACCATGTTATGTCATTTTTATTTTTACAAGCAGTCACACTCATTCACAGCATGACAGCCTAAACATCCCCCGTACATGTACTTTCACTTTTGGTATTTCAATTCATCATCTTCTAAAATGTGTTTCTTTCAGCAAAAAATCTATTTGCATTGTTACAGGATTTGTGTATTTGCAATGTTGTCAGATCACCATGAAGCGGAGGTCTATCCTCTACGTTGCCAACTTCTTGCTGCCTGTTCTCTTCTTCTTGTGCCTGGACATGGCCTCCTTCCTGATCTCCCACCGAGGTGGCGAGAAGCTCAGCTTCAAGGTGACTGTGCTGCTCGCCGTCACAGTGATGCAGCTTATTCTCAATGAAATTCTGCCCTGCTCATCAGACAAGATCCCACTAATAGGTAAAGAGCCGTGCCTTCATCGCTTTGACTTCACTGCCTCGGCTGCTTTTCATAGAACAGCACATACTGACTCAATGAGTGGTTATTTGCACACATTAATGATGCTTCCTGCTCCCCTCAGCGATCTACTGCATTGGAGTTTTTGGTATGATGCTGATCAGCCTCATGGAGACTATTTTTGTGATGTATCTGATGGAGAAAGACTTCAAGGACGATGAGACAGACAGAGACCGAAGCCTGGATAAGAGCTGTGAGGACAAACTGGGCAAAGGCAACTTCCACAGCTGTTTCAGAGGTGAGTTCATATCCACATAAAGATTTACTAAACATGTTCACTCATCGAATAATCACTTTAATATCATTACTCAAATGTGCCTGTTGTCCTTCCAGGAATAAAGGAATGGGCTCAATGTGCATCTGCAAATGATGCATCTGCTGATGAGACAGTTGTGCCCAAAGAGGTTAGAACCACATTTCCAGAATTAGAAAAAAAGTTTTGTTTGCATGGAAAATGACCGAAAGAACTTGATCGCAGATACAATCGGCCGAAATGAGTTTCCTCTGCAGGGTGGCTGGGCTCAGCCTTAGCGATAGGGTGAGGAGCTCAGTCACGTGAGAGGAGCTCGGAGTAGAGCCGCTGCTCCTCCACGTCGAATGGAGCCAGCTGAGGTGGCTTGGGCATCTTTTTTGGATGCCTCCTGGACGCCTCCCTGGGGAGGTGTTCCGGGGGCATCCTACCGGGAGGAGGCCTCGGGGAAGACCCAGGACATGCTGGAGGGATTATGTCTCTCGACTGGCCTGGGAACGCCTAGGGGTCCCCCCGGAAGAGCTGGAGGAGGTGTGTGCGGATCGGGAAGTCTGGGCGGCTTTGCTAAGGCTGCTGCCTCCGTGACCCGACTCCGGATAAAGCGGAAGAAAATGGATGGATGGATGCATGGAAAAGATGTGTTAAGCTTTTTGTTGATGGAGTTTTTCAATTCTTTAAGCATAACTAGATAAGTTCCTGTTATCCCTCCTGTAAAGGTGGTGGAGAGAAAACGAGAGAATGTTTTTGTAGTTTGAAAGAGTAAACTGAATGGAGCAGCTAACAGTGTCACATGATTTATAGTAATACTCATGACCTGTCCACTACATCACTACTGCAGGGCAGCAGCAGCCAGCTGACCGAGGTGTCTCTTGCCTTGGAAAAGGTCTCAGGTGAGCTTGGGGAGATCGACAGAACAATGAGTCTACTCAGCAGCAGCAAGGACAAGAAAGAGCCCGGCTACTGGACCAGGATGGCAAAGAAAATCGACAAGGCTTTCTCAGTTATATACGTCATATGTGCTGCTCTGTTTTTAGTTATCATCTTCACAATGTGGGTGGTTCCAGATGACGACGAGCAGTAAAATTTGAAAGGAGGTTGAACTCAGACACATAGTTTTGTCTAGTCTGTGATCACACCTGTAATTAATGACCAAAGACAAGAAAATGTCCCATTGAGGTCTCTTATACTGACTTGTTGCAAACTGATCAGAACATGCAGGCCGGTGACCCACTGATCTGTGACGCAGCACCACGACGACACCGACCCACTAACAGCAAGTTGTGCTGCTGTTCACTGTTTGGTTAGTTATCACAATAAGCTGCACAGACAGGCATTGTTATAAATCTTCTTTGTCTTGCATCCTCAAACTTTCCGTCTTTCTGATTTGTCTGGCTGGCTTGGTTTTGTTCACTTTGTTTTCTTTTTTTCAGTTACATTTGCTACTAATCTCCTAGTGTTCATCAGGTTTGTGCTTTTGAGTTGCTGAGAAAGTTCTGCCAAGTTCTGCTTTCAGTGAGAAGTTTTTTCATAGTTCCCAGAATGTTGTTCTTAAAGGCAGGATGAAGTTCTCTCAGGACTTCCCGTAACATTGTGGAAATGTTTTATGGAAGAATGTTCCACAATGGGATACTTCATCCTCTGAAAATTACAGGCAACATGTTCTACCTTTGCTAATATCTCAGTTTGGAGGAATGTTTAATTAACATTGGAGTCATCGGAGGCTTGATTATATCTGCAAAATGTTTTTTGAATGTTGGTTTGAGAACACAGTTTGCTATCATGTAACATCATCTGACAACATCTTCCAAACATTTTCCAAAATTATTCTCTCTTGTACCTTATAGCAACATTATTTGAAATCGCAAATATCATCAAAACATTCCTTTAACATAACATTTAAATGTTTCCTTTAAAACACTATTAGATCATGTTAACCAACATTGTAGGAACATTCCCTGCTTGCTGTGGGGATGTTAGCGACACATCTAACACATATACTCATCGTTAACCTGTGGCAAAAAGTTCAATTAATCTTTCAAATAAAATATATTTAAAAGTGTAATGCAATGAGAATATAGCTGTATTTAGACTGGAACTAAATGTAGGAATATGGTGCAATGCGGTTTAATATAGCATAACAGCTGAATGGTTATTTCAAGTCTACATTTGCAACTGTATTTAACATATTAATATTTTGCAATGTATTCACGTAGTAGATGAAAAGTCTTGTTATTTGGTTCTTGCATTATTAGACTGTTCAAATAACATTTTAAAAAATGACACACTTCACTCTGCTGTGTTCATGTACTATGCATGTGCTTACATTTAAGGAGTGATGAGGGGATGAGCATAATAAAAGCAAACTGTAAAGAAAAGCTTCTCAGCATCAGTGGGTCCAAGTTCATCCGTGGGCATGTTGATAATCTTCACAAAAACCACTGTAGTAATCAATTCCAGTCTTGGAACAGTCTTGAGTTTGGTTGGCAAGACGCAGGATTCTCCTACAGCGAGGGCACAGTGAACATCTCCCTCTTCATTTTGTTTCAGATACAAACACTAACCCTTCAAACTGGTGTTGGAAAACTGGTGCAGCTCTGTCTTCCAGACCAAAACCAGTAGGTGAGGAAGTGTGAGGTATGGTGATATTATCCAGGTGAGCTAGATCACTTCTCCACTGTTCCCATTTTGGACCAAGTTCATCTGTGAGGGGATCGTTCCAGTCTGTTCCACACTAGCACATTTCTTGGAGCATGATCTTTGCTTTGAGCACGACTGGTGCCACAAACCTAAGAGGGTCAGACACGGAGGCCATTATGGACAAAATGCCACGCTGTGTTTCAGGCTGATCTTTGAGACTGACATTAATCCAGAAGTGGTAAGACTTCACATCCCACTGAATCCCAAGAGCTTTCTCAAGTGGCAGACTGTCGAATGTCATTTATATGAAATCTGACCAAGTTTTCTGAATATTTTCCTTTTCAATGCTTCACTGTCAGCAAGTTTTAAACTTGCAAATTATCATTACACAAGTGTGATGATTAAGCTGATTAGTTGAATATTAATGTTGCTGATTACAGGGCCTTTTCCATCAAATCATTATCAGTAACTTTCATAAAGAGCTGCTCCTAATTGCTTCTTCTGATGGAGCTCTGTTGTGTCTTGTGCACTTAACTGTGGTTTTAATTCTTACATTTGCTGGTTGATGAAGATGTGGACTTATAAAAGCCTGGTTTCCCCACATCCTGGTGTTAGCAAAGCTAATGTGGAAAATGATTCTTGGCTGTCCAGATATACTTGTAATATATATCACAATGCCCAAGTGGTGTTGTTTGACTTATGCAGTGGATCATGTAAACATAGACACAGTATGAACACTATTCTTTGTGAAATGTTACTATACAGATATAATTTCCAGTTCTGGATTCAGATGCTACCTTTTAACAACAATCTTCATAGGAAGCTTCTATTACTCACAACAAGCTGTGTTTTCTTCAGAAGTGCCATGTATCAGAAAGGCACAACCAGGGGATGGATTCAAGGTAACCACACAGGTGGAAAAGCAGACAAAGAGTGGGGGAGTGCAAAAACCCCTGCAATGAGATGAGAGTGAGTAAGCACACAACAGGAAGTATGAAAATTAAACAGGAAATAATCAAACAGGTGCTACGCCCACCAGGTGGTAGGCAGGAGCGGGCGTCCTGGCATAACGCTCCCTGGTGCCGTAGATTAGCTCTGGGGATGTGGAAGGTCACCTCACTGGCAGGGAAGGAGACTGAGCTGGTGCTGGACGTGGAGCACTACCGGCTAGATATAGTCGGGATCACCTCCACGCACAGCAAGAGCTCTGGAACCAAACTCCTGGAGAGTGGTTGGACTCTCTCCTTTTCCGAAGTTTCCTACGGTGAGAGGCGCCGGGTGGGTGTGGGGATACTCACAAGGCCCCGGCTGGGCCCCGCCTTGTTGTAGTTCTCCCCCAGAGAACAAGAGGGTCGCCTCTCTGCGACTGCGTGTTGCAGAGGGGAAAACTCTGACTGTTGTTTGTGCTCATGTACCAAACGGCAGTTCAGAGTATCCGGCCTTCTTGGAGTCTCTGGGTGGTGTCCTGGAAGTGGTGCCACCTGGGGACTCCATAGTTCTCCTGGGTGATTTCAATGCTCACGTCGGCAATGACGGTGAAACCTGGAGGGGCATGACTGAGAGGAACAGCCTGCCTGATCTGAACCCGAAGGGTGTTTTGTTTTTGGACTTCTGTGCAAGCCACGGATTGGCCATAACAAACACCATGTTCAAACATCAGGGTGAAGAGAGGAGCACAGCAGTCAAATGATTACTACCTGGTGGTGAGTTGGATCCGATGGCGGGGAAGGCTGCCAGACCTGGTAAACCCAAACGTGTAGTGAGGGTGAACCGGGAACATTCGGCGGAGGCCCCTGTCCGTGGGGTTTTCAATTCCCATCCACTGACTTTGTGTGCATCTGCAGCAGTTCTAAAGTTCACTAAGTGCTACTGGTTGCTGTGATGTCTGCTGCAGGATGGATGTGAGAGTAGAAACACTCCTGAAGTAGTAAGCAGAGCATTTCAGGCTTTACAATCCCCTTCATTTTCTGCTCAGACAGTGTGTGGCACCATGCAGTTGGACGACTTCCAAAGCTTAGATTAAACCAACTTCTGATGCAGCTCCTACATTTTTACAACTTTGACAAACCAAATGGCATCAACANCTCCTGCATCCCGGGGGAGGTTGGGGACATGGAGTCAGAGTGGGCCATGTTCAAAGCCTCCATTGCAGAAGCAGCCGTTAGGAGCTGTGGCCAGAAGGTCACTGGTGCCTGTCATGGCGGCAACCCCAAAGCCCACTGGTGGACACCAGCAGTGAGGGGAAACCGTCAGGCTGAAGAAGGAGATCTTTTGGGCCTGGCTGGCTCAGGGGTCCCCTGAAGCAGCAGACAGGTACTGGCTGGCCAAAAGGGCTGCAGCTGTTGTGGTCGTGGAAGCTAAAACTCGGGTGTGGGAGGAGTTTGCGGAGGCCTGGGAATGCCTCGGGATCCTCAAAGTAGAGGTGGAAAGTGTCACCTGGGGGAGGGAAGTCTGGAATGACCTGCTCCACCTACTGCCCTCGCAACCTGACCCCGGATAAGCGGAAGAAAATGAATGGATGGAAATAATCAAACATTACCTAACAGTGGGAGCTGTATGTGACACAGTGTAGTTAATTCCTGCTGTTTGTGTTTGTTTCAAGAACTCTGTGATCTGTTGTATGTGTTGGGATTTAAACCATCTGTCAGACTCACAAATAAGCAACAACAAAATCTTGTTTCACCTCATATAGACACAAATAAACATGTTTCGGTCATCACTACATCTTTGCTGCACAAATGCATTTCTCTTACTTCCTGTGGAATCACACAGCTTGTTTAGCACAAGCTGAAGCTTTTCTAACTGATGTGTGCTATAGGCAGTGCCGTCCACTGACTTTGTGCGCATCTGCAGCAGTTCTAAAGCTCACTAAGTGCTACTGGTTGCTGTGATGTCTGCTGCAGGATGGATGTGAGAGTAGAAACAATCCTGAAGTAGTAAGCAGAGCATTTCAGGCTTTACAATCCCCTTCATTTTTTGCTCAGACAGTGTGTGGCACCATGCAGTTGGACGACTTCCAAAGCTTAGATTAAACCAACTTCTGATGCAGCTCCTACATTTTTACGACTTTGACAAACCAAATTCCATCAACAGTGGAAGTGGGATGTAAACAGCTTTTTGTTTGACAGGAAAGCTGATCTGACCACAGATTGTTGAGTGCTGAGGGTGTTGGCAGTTACTGGCAGCTTTGTTTATCAGGCACTTTTCGAAGGATCTGTCATCACATTTGCCCTGCCCTCTTCCAGTGATATTAAAGCTGGAAGCATCTTCAGACAGCACAGAGACAACAGGGATGCTCAGTGACCTTTCACAGCCATGATGCTTGCAGGCTTTGTCTTCTTTCTGCTTCTCCTCACAGGTAAGCTGAAATAATTCAGCACTATGCATGCAGGTGCACTGAGAGACTGAGAAATGCACCACTGTCTGACTAAACCTGTTATCCAC